TCAAGAGTGTCCTTTTAAAGATGAGAGAGACTATAGATGGCAAGCTAAATATTAGTTGCAGTAATCCAGATGAGATATAAATAATGATATTGCATATCATTTACGTAAAACACACTTTTTTCTCTATTTTAACATTGGTCTTCACCTACAAAGCAGTGTTGCTTCCCTTATATCACACAAAAGGACTGAGATTGACATACCATTCCTTCTATTATGCAATCAATTCTGGAGCTTAAAATGCTCAATAAGCATAGTGCTGCATGATGATAACTAATGTGAAGAATGGTGGAGGAAGGGCTGGAGGAAGAATGGTGAGGAATGACTTATAGGATGCATGCAGAATTTGTTTTGTGAAATATGCTGACATAGAGTAAAGAGATATTTAGGGATATTTCACCGTACATCACTATATAGTAGATACACCTCAAATGAAAATATGCATGAATTTAAGTATGCATTGTTTTGTTTGAGTTATATCTTAAATGGCTGGCAAAATCTGCATATCTCTTGTCTGCAACATTTACAAGCCCGATCCTTCCCAGCCCAAACTGTCCACTGACAGACTTCCCGGTACAGCTAAGTGTGAAGTCTTTTTGAGGCAGGTGCAATGGACCATTGCCTACCTCTTGAGTTTAGCTCCAAGCAGCAAATAACAGGACTGGTCATCTGACTGAGAGCCAGGGAGTGTCACAAGGTTAGTTTATAAAAGTGCCTAGTTCTTTAAAAATCTGCACTTTTTGTAAAATGAAAAAAGGGGACACACACACTTAGCAAGTTAAAGCAATTTAATTGTTTGGAGTGTTCCTTTAATATGGTGCAAGCTTTTTGCATGTTTTTTTAGGTAAAGTGCAAATAGCGCTGTTACTGTAACATTACACTCTAGCGTTTCTTATGCCAAGATCTGTAAAATGTAAATAGCATTTTGTGCAAACTTACCACTCTTCTGAAAATAGTGATGTCCTTTCTCAATACTACCGCAGTTATCATTTTAGAAATGTAGACCCTTTTTTTTATTACACTTGATGCATGAGGTCATGTGCATGTCTATTTCCCAGAGAGCACCACACAATAAAAATCACATTCATATACAGAACATGGGTAAGTTCATCACAAAAGTCGTCAGCAAAATATCAATAATGAATGATACATATGAGTATATTGCAGAGGATCACAGTAATTAATCTCTCTTAATGTGTAGTGTAAATGAGTGTAATAATTTGATATAATTGCACAAGGAATCTGAGGGAAATGAGACTGCTGATTGGCAGAAGCTCTACCACGGTTTTTTATGGTGTGTCAATGTCCTTGAAGATATCCAGCTTTGGATTCATACAAACAAAATAGAACACATGGATGAGTGAGCCAAACGTGCAAAGTATCAATATTCACTTCCTTCAAAGGTATTGGTTCATGGCAATGCATGAGTAAAATTTATATACTGAGGATTTCTATAGATTACAACCCAGGGTACAAGTTGCTTGACTTGATTTTTAGAACGTATGTCACATGTAAGAATATTTTATCTAGTTGATCTGCTATCACAAGTCAGAAGTACAAAACAAAATAACAAAAAAAAATAAAAAAAATATCTGTATACATAAAACAATTACAATCATTCACATGTTTAAAAAACAATGCATTTCTCTTTAGATGCATATAACCAGCTCTATAATTGGTTTAAATAATGCATCAATTTATCAAATAGTGCCATTCAGGGTTATAATAACAATTGCCTCTAGAACCCCTATGTTTTTTTTTTTTGTTTTTTTTTAATTAAAGTTTCACTTTATATCTCAAGCTTTAGAATTATTAGTTTTAAATTTTGTATGAAGCATTGTTGCTTGATAAACAAACTAAAATCAGTGACTTCCTATAGAGAACAAAGGCTCATTAGATTTTAACATAATGACACATGCCTTTAGTATTCTTCTAACTAATAAAACACCCACAGGAATCTTACAAACTGTGTTGTATCATCATTTCATGGAGAACACCACACGAATTATACATAATATAATAATGTAATTTTAGCCAGGGTAAACACTGGCACTGCGTTTTTCAGAGACTAAAAAAGATAAATTGTGAGTTGTACTCTTTGAATTTGTCCTTAGATTTCTCCAACAGAACTGCAAACTATTTTCTTTCTAGACCAGTGATTAGTTATTCAGTGGCTCTGTCAAATTATTACTCTGAATAATGCCTTGGGTCCAGTTCTCTCAAGGACACTATTGGACAACTTGTGCATTTGGTTTCAAATGATGTAAAATGTACCCAGTGGATCATCCAAATTCCAGAACTCTGAAGGGCCATATGTATGTGTACTTAAAGAAAATATATTCATAGGTTTAGTTATTAAAGTAGGAATTTAAAGTGAATTCAAAGTGAATTTCAGGCAAGAGTAGCTGAATGTAAAGCAATTCAGCTCAGCTATTTTAACCTTAAATTTCAAATGTACTTTGAGTTTATCTTGAATTCTGACTTATTTCAGTCTACAATTCAGTGCACGTCTGTAGCACACTTTAATAGCCATATAGCATCTAGCAAAGTGTGAAAAGGGTAAATGGGTGTCTTTAACGATCCATTTCATGATGTAGAGGGACTGAAAGAAAATCAATTAAATTTGTTTCTCCACTGGGTGAACAGGAAAGCAATGTTTTTCCCAAAGTATTTTTGCATTGCTAAATAAAACATAATAAAGATAAACCTGTAATTTTAACACCCTATATTACTTTATGGTTGAAAAAACTACAAAATAGGGTAAGAAAAGAAGGAATGTATCAGTGACAGAATAGTAAGAAATTGAGTGAGTTCCATTTATAGGATAGAATGTTGCTGTATAATTTATTTTTACATTCCATATTTTTGGAATAGAAGACGCTCCTATCTAGCTTTACTAGAAAATTAGAAATATCAACAAAGCAACCAGTATCCTAATTACAGTAAACTTTAGTGTAGTATAAACTTTATGTAGAGTGTATGAATATAGAGAGATGTAGCAAATGTGTGTGTGTGTGTGTGTGTGTGTGTATAAGGGATACAGTGTGTGTGATAAGCAACTGAGGAAGCCTCTGTAGTAGGCGAAACGCGTATTGCTATTTATGTGGACTTTACTGTAAGAGATTTTATATTGTATTTACTTTTATTTTCATTAAATGTTCATGTTTTAACCCTCACACTGCCTCAGTGGATCGTTTGAAACAGTCAGAGAATGGATTAACAACCACCTCATTGGAAGGGAGTGGGATCCCCTACAATTATCCCATAGGCGTTAATATTGAGCCATATTCATCTGGCTCTTTCCTTGTGAGTACCTTATCACACAAGTGCTGTACAGCTACCTATGTACTTTACGATGCTGCACTAGGTGATTGTCAATACTTTTGTGTTTATGCGATGTAGCGTCTGTAGTGCATGTAGGGTATGTGTTTATGGAATGTTGTATATATGTGTGAGTGTAAGGAATTTAATGTGTATAGTAGATGCAGTGTGTGTATAGTGGAAACAATGTAAAGTATGCAATGTCTGTGTTTTTAGTGCTTGCAGTGTGTATATTTGTGTAGTGGGATAGTGACTATGATCAGTGAGGGGAAGTGAAGAGCAGCTCTGGCTTGCACAGATTCGGAACATTGCTGTGGTAACACATGGCAATGCTCCAACGCTCTAAAAAGCACCCACAAGGCAACCCTTTCAAGGGTAGCATAGTACGTCCACCATCTTTAAGGGGTTAAACAGAAATCAGTCTGTGTAAATAACATACATTGTTATTGTTCTAAATTACATTTTAATTCCCCCAAGAATTATTAGTAGTTACCTAAAAATTAGCCTGCCCCTGGCTATATCCCAGTCACACTCGCAAAATGAAAGTGTCCCTCTTTGTCCACGTTTCTTTAACATTTTTGAAGGTATGTCATAGGTGCTTGGAATGACCCTCAAAAGCCATACATTACAAAGCATTTGTTTTATTAAAAACTGCTTGAATGTTACAGTTCTTTTCTTTCTTTTGTAAGGAAGATTAGCCCAAAATTCCCCCAAAGTGACATGTGAGATTGATCAAAAACAGCAGAAAAGTGAAATAAAAAAAATACTAATGATAAAGAAGGTACAGAGTTACCAAACGTAAATGTTTAAATTCATCCCTTAAAAGGGCATGAATCATGACCGTTATTAAGAAAAAAGATGACAAGTAATATTTATTGCATTATAGCTATTTAATCAGAATTTATTCTTGGTTGGTTTTTATTTGCTAGTCAGTTCACAGTTTTAGGGCAAAATAATATATGGAAGCTGACCATGGTTCAAATGTTATCTGCTTTCTAGTCATCAAAATGCCATTGCATTTCTATTATACTAGAAAATATGCAACACCCCATATGAGAATAAATATCCATTTTAACCATTCATTTAAGTATAACATATTGCTATCTATTGTTAGCCACAAAATGTTAATTGAAATCAGAGATTTTTCATATATGAAACAATCTGAAACAAATATAGGACTGATCTAGCATTTTTAAATTTACTCTGCCTCTAGGGATAGATATATTGAAAAAAAACTATATAAGGACTCAATAATAGGCACGATATACACATAAGTCATATTACATTTTGTAGTAGTAGTATATGGATAATGTAAGCTCAATGTGAAGTATGACAAAAAATGATACACAGCTTTATCGTTTAACCCCTTGAGTAAACAAATGTTATCAAGTAGAATGCACTTGAGGATTACAGGTTTAATAACTTCTGTTGCAGAACATTACTATCTCATGCAAGATATATAGCCTTCTTCTCTTCATTCTGTTTTCACTTGAGTACAGCATGTTGTTTAGTGAATAAACCAAGATAAGAAATAAGAAATAGCTACACTAATAAATATATATATGTATATTCATATACATATGTACACAAACATACACTGAACAAAATTATAAACTCAACAATTGTTTTTGCCCCCATTTTTCATGAGCTGAACTCAAAGATCTAAGACTTTTTCTATGTACACAAAAGGCCTATGTCTATCAAATATTTTTCACAAACCTGTCTAAATCTGGATTTATCTAGGCAAAGGAGAAGTTCTCACTAACACAGATTTAGACAGATTTGTGAACAATATTTGAGAGAAATAGGCCTTTTGTGTACACAGAAAAAGTCTTAGATCTTTGAGTTCAGCTCATGAAAAATGGGGACAAAAACAAGTGTAACATTTATAATTTTGTACATACATATATGCTAAGCATTGCATAGACACCTATGTATGCTTGTGTACATAATTAAGATATATACAAGGCAATATGTCTTATTTAGGAATGCAAGCATGTTTCTTATTTTTCGAACATTCTTAATCATATGTTGAAATGAGAACATACATGGTTACCTGGAATCCAGCACAGAGCAATGTTCCCCTCAAAGGGCTCCACACCCCTCATCGGTACTCTCTTATGGTCAAATCAAATGTTTCATATCTATCAAGGATAGGAAGCAAGTAACTTTTTCTTTAGTTTTCATTGTATGTTTTGGGACTGATGTGTATAATGGTCATCATTGCCGCGCAGGACTTAACTTTGTATGTTTGCATTTACTTTTGTATTACACAGCCATGTTACATGTTATTAAGGGTTAATAATGGCTAAGAGTTAATAAGTATGTAAGGGTTCAGAAAAATACTCCACTCTGTCTCAGAGTATTGCCTTTTAGCGCAAAAAAGAAAGGTGAACTGTTAGTGTAGGACTCTCGTAAGACGTTTGCCCTGATATGGCAGTGAGCTCATATTTTAATTGCCATTGGAGTGAAACTAAAAACCTCAAGTTATTTAAATATGCATAGGGATCTGGGATTGTGTGCAAGTAAGTTGTTTCACCTCTTGCTCAAACCAACCTTTACAGAAGGAGCATGCACTGGAAAATATCCAGCACTAACCTTCTTTGTACTGATGAATACTAAATACTTGAAGTGAATTCAAATGTAAGACATAAAATAGCAGCATAATGGATTTTGTCTTACGATTAAAACTTCCTCAGTGGTTAAATAGCAGTAAAAAAAGTCCACAAGGTTTTAAAGGTCAGCACAAGGCTTGAGGCATGCCTATATTTATCAATTGAAAAAAAAAATGAATTATTGCTAAATATAAGAAAACAAAACCCTGAAAACTCATCAAAAGAACAAATGATGCCAGAAATCATGAATTATATACAATATATCATATTTTCACTACAACTTTTTACCTACTGGGAATAATAAAGTCAAGCCATTACTTTTCTACTTCCTGAAGGGCAATCAGAGTGGTATGTTTTGATCTGTCATAAATGTCTGTTGGTTCTCTAAAAAACAATTTAGCATTAGCACTTATAATGCATTTACACTAGCTCACACATAACGCATACAGTCAGGGAAAAAATAAAGTACACCCTCTTTGAATACTATGGTTTTACATATCAGGAAATAATATTCATCTGTTCCTTAGGGTCCTGCCAGAATATTTCATTCGGGTTAAGGTCTTAACATTGACTTTTTCCTGTGTATGGAAAATCAGGAAGTTCCAAGTAAGGTACTAAAACTAGTTTTATTTAAAACAAGATCATAAAACCAATCTAAACACTAACGCGTTTCACCCAAAAGGGCTTCTTCAAAGTGTTCTTACCTGGATCTTCCTAATTTTATCCCTGAAGAGTTTATACGGAGGAGCCACATCTGTATAATAATATTTCTTTAGAAAAGTTGCCCCAGATTGCACAGGATATTCAAGGTTTGGTCTTAGCATTGATTTATAAAGAAGTAAAATTATACTTTCATCCTGAGCATTAATGCCAATTTTTCTATATGACTGTACCTTACTGGTCTTAGCAACTGCTGATTGACATTACACATTTTTACCTAGTTTGTTGTCTATAACAATTCCCAAATTATTCTTGTGTTTTGTTATCCCTAATTTACTACCAGGTAGAGTTTAAGTTGCTTGTGCATTCTTTTTTTTTACATTCTTTGCAGGTTTCTGACAACTTTCCAAGATACATGCATATGGTCTGTAGGTGTGTCATCATACTGCTGCATTTTAAATATATAAAAAATGTATCAAAAAGAAACAGAAACTTTAACCCCTTAAGGACACATGACACATGTGACATGTCAAGATTCCCTTTTATTCCAGAAGTGTGGTTCTTAAGGGGTTAATCTCCCCATCATTAATACCCCACTCCACGACATCCTAAATAGGTCCCATTACCTGGTCAGACCATGCGGACATCTCTTTTACATTCACAGTTCCCCTAGTAGCAAGATCGTGGTCCTGGAGCCTAAACCCCATCCTACTACACAACCCATACATCAGAACTCCCTGATTATTTTGCCCTCAACTTAAATTCTCTGTCCCCTCAGCCGGCACCCTTTGGGCAGCACACTTTGGGCAGCACACATGAACAGGGTCTAACTAATCGCAGAAGCCACGGCATATAAAAAAACAACAATTGATAGAGCTCGAAACACACCTTTCTTAGGGACATAGAGGCTAAACACAAAAAAGGGCCCACACTTGAACTGACAGATCAGCTTCAACTACACTAACAAGGCATTAAAAATATTATGCCTAAATACTCTCATAAGGCCCTTCAATGGACCAGACAATTATTCTATATGAAAAGTTCAACAGAGCAGATACCCTCCTAGTACGTAAGCATCGCCACAGGACCCTAGCTAAACATGTAGATAAAATCACCTCGCCCAATGGACAAACATGTGACACTCCCGATCGTATCGTCGTCATTTTTCTAGATTATTTCTCATCCCTATACGACTATAACCCGGATGCACGCCAGCAACATACACATCTGCAACTGACAATTGAGACATATCTCAGAGGAACCACCCTCCCCTCACTAAAATATGAAGTGATAGAGAGCCTCTCTTCCTCAATTGTGGAAGAAGAAATAGCAAACACACTGAAGACATCAAAGCCCAACAAATGCCCAGGCCCAGACGACTTCTCCGGTCTCTACTACAAAACATTCTCTAATACTTTACTACCCCACCTCACCACACTCTTCAACTCACTCCTACAGGGGAAATCCCTTCCAAAGAAAATGACCAGGGCAAACATTGCCTTATCCCCAAACTGGACAAAACACACCTAGACCTGGGACACTTTCAACCCATATCACTTCTGAATGTAAACACCAGAATATTTACAAAATTATTGGCCAACCGAATCCAGCCCTTCCCCCCCAAACTCATACACCCTGACCAGGTAGGCTTCATTCCTACATGGCAAGCGTGTGACAATATCAAGCACACTTTTGATCTAATATGGGTCGCTAAACATAGACATATACCAAAGCTCCTACTCTCCATGGATGCTGAAAAGGCGTTTGATCGCCTGCTCTGTCCCTTTCTATTTACTATCCTGTGTAAACTCTGCTTCCCAGAACCCTTCATCACAGCCTTAAAAGCCCTTTCTGATCAACCAACAGCTACCTTCCTCATCCCCAACACACAATCACCAGAATTCACCATCCAGAATGGGAATCGCCAAGGTTGCCCACTGTACCCCTCCTAATCTCCCTATCTTTGGAACCCCTAGTCCAGAAAATCTGCAACACTGCAAATCTGCAACACTCCAACAACATATGCAGACGACATCCTTCTAACCCACACAGACCCATGCCATTCATTACCACCTCTACTTGAAATCTTAGATGAGTACACCAGGCTCTCTAGGTACAAACTTATCTGGATAAAACAAAAGCCCTCCCAATAACCTTCAACAAACCTAACCTTTCCAATATACCACACAGAGTATACACTATCTCGGAACACATATTCCAAAAGATCTCTCCAAAACATATGACCTCAACTACACACCATTGCTCCAACAAGCACACAGTGACCTACAAAGATGGCACCCCATGTCCATATACTAGATGGGCAGAATAGCCACCATTAAAATGAATCTCCCGGTTCCTTTACCTGTTCCAAGCCCTTCCTATTCTTATCTTGAAAAATTATTTTAAAATGTTTCAGATGAAATTTGACAACTGCATCTGGGCAGGTAAAAAACTGAGAACAAAAAGATCAACAATGTACATCACCAATAGAGCAGGAGGCTTTGGACTCCCAAACTTCTACCACTACTTTCAGGCTGCCCAACTGGCACAAATCCAAAACCTACGCGTGCAAGCGGGCATGAAGTTATGGGTAGACCTAGAACATGATCTCCTGGGAAAGGATCTCCCTTCTATCCACCTCTGCTCCCAAAAAGAGACAGACCAGACCCCCACCCCCAATGTTCCCAGCCCTAACCATATTCTTCCAAATATGGGATAGAGTAAACTCATGACACCCAATAATAAATGTACCATCTCCATTCACACCAGTCTTGAGAAATAAACAGTTTCTCCCAGGAATGACACCCAAAACTTTGAGTACTTTGAGGACAACAGGCTACTTAACTCTTCCACTTCTTTCGTAATCAACTACTATTACCATTCGAGGATCTACCACGAAAGGTACCGCTAACTACTTTCAACTATTTCCAATACCTACTGTTGTGTAGCTTCCTCAATGAACCAAACACCATAGCTACAGCCACAACCACACTCACACACTTTGAAAAAACAAGTATACACGCACCCATACAGAAAGGACAAATATCCACAATCTACTCCCTCCTGAATTCAACCTCCCCAGTAGACACCTGCTCGTATACCTCAGCCTGTCAAAGAGACATAGGTCCACCAGACGACCCCTCAGATTGGATGGATGTCTGGGAGGCCACAGTATTGCTCACGGTATGCATTAACCACAAGGAATAAGCATACAAGACTATGCTCTGGTGGTACCTCACACCTCTCAGGTTGAAACAAATGGGGCACTCAGACTTGGATGTCTGCTGGAAAGAATGCGGCATAAAAGGCACATATATACACCTATGGTGGGAAGGCCCATCGATCATCCAACTATGGCTCTGCGTCTCTTACCTTGCCTTCAAAATCCTCTAAATAGACCTGCCAATGGATCCCTGGACCTGGTTACTCTCCAAACCCCAAGCCACTCTTACCAGAGTGCAGAACAAACTGGTAGCAAAGATTGCACTCGCCACCAGATGCCCAATTTCAGAACAATGGGGGTAACTACAACAAACCCTCAC